GGGCTATCAAGCTGTCTCGAATCTGTGAAATCATAACTGTGACTTATATCGACGTCCTATCTGTCTCTTTCCTCCGTTATCACCAGGCTGAAGTCACGCAATTATAAAATGGGAACTCTACGACGGAAAAGTGACGAATCGAAAGTATCGTGAGCGCGTATTATGATATATGCACAGGAAAACATGGATTAGAACGATAGAGGAAAGAGAAAGGGAAGAGCAAAGACGAGCGCTTAAAAAGAAGGATAGGCAGGGTCAGATCCTCAGATGTGCGAGGATTCTCCAACGATAGACGTGTACGTGTGCTGATCTTTGTAATTATAAATTGTGAATACATGCGACTAATATTATTTTCTTTTTCATTTTGTGTATGTTACAAGTTATAAATAAATATAAACAAACAACACTAATTCTATAACATTAAATCTAAATACCAAAACGATTAATTTACTGTGTTTTTGTTATTTATTACTCCTGTTTTTAGGTATTCGGTATTCGGCCGAATAATGATTAAATATTTGGTATTCGGCCGAATAGTGAAAAATAGGCCGAATAGGCCGAATACCGAATTGTAACCGAATATTCGTTACATCACTACTATAAATATGTGACTCGTTAGAACTCTACAGTATAATAATAAAGATTGTAATACAAATTAATTTCATCATTAAAAATATATCACATATTATTAGCATGATTTACACAATAAATACTTTAAATATTTTTTTCATTTATTTGCTTGATAAATATATGGGGATTAGGCATTGTGAAGTTAATTAATTACACCATTTATATATCACTTTTGAGTATTTAAATATGTTTTGTGTATAAGAATAGCAATGTAATTTATAACATTCCGGCAATTAAGACCTTAACCAGAAATCAGGATGGATTCAGGAGGTCGAAAATCTTTATGTCGTTCTGACCCTGTATATAAGGCCCCTTCCATTTCGGTCTGGAAAAACATATCGTGTGACTGATTTTTTTTTTTAAAAAACCTGTTTGCTGATAGTAAGAAACAAAAATTTTATTAATGTTCAAGATGTAATTTATTACAAGTAAAATAAAATCATTAAGAAATAAAATATTCTTTAGATTTATTTCTGTATAGAAAAAGAATGACAAATTTTTTATTTTGAAATAACTTTAATTAATACTTTAAATATAAAAATAAGTTTAAAATATTTATATATTTTTTGTTATATTAACAATTATTGCTAAAATATAAATTCCTTTTTCGTTTTGTGCAATTCAACGTGATTTCGTGTAAATTTATGCTATTTTTTGTTTAAGAAACACTGCAATATGTTACTAAAGGTAATTATGAAATAAATAAAAAAAACTGGAATTACTCCCATAGTAAAATCATCTACGCCACTGAATTTTCAATATATGTGTTGAAAGTACATGGCAAGTTGCGCTGTGTTCCTATTATAACTTATTTTACTATATTACAGAATACAAAATTTAATATTAATTAATTAATCAATAATTTCTTACCAATAAAATGTTTACCACTGAATTGATAAAACTTGGCGACATCTGCAGAAAATGTGATAGTGACATTCCACTAGCATCCGAAATAAAAACCATACAATTTTCTTGAGTTCGATGAAAATTTAACATGAGATCGAAGGTAAGCATCATAGCACGAATTACATCTGTTCCATTTGCAACAGAAGTATCCCATTTACCTAAGAAAATCAATATTTCAATTTTAGACTATGGCTTACAAGCATAGAAGCATAATTATATTTAAATAAAAAAATTATTTTTAATAATCTTCTTTCTTCAATCAATTCGTATTGCTCAATATTAATAAAAAGAAATAATTTAAAGTGTAAATATGTTTTATAATTTCAATTTTCGGCTTATATATTCGTTTGGTCGAAATAAATGGGAAATAAAATACCTGTTCGAATGTAGAAATCCTCGTTTATTTGAGTCTCGAGAATCAGTGACAAATAGAGATAGAGATCATTATCTGTCATCTTAAGTACATTCATTTATTGAATCAAATAATTAAAAAGGAATCAAATAAACATAAAATCTAAATATTAACTAATACAGTTGAAATATTGATCTAGCTTTTATAAAATTTTTATGATAAATTATTTCAATTTACAGAAAATAAATCTTTTACAATTTTTTTCATTATTCTATATATAAACTATCCTCTATTTCCTTTGCCTTTACTATAGAGATTTCTATACTTTTCACTTTCTAGTCTACATTACTGCCGATCAGATAGATAAAGAAACTATTGTTCTCACTAAGGAATTCAACTGTTTCGCATAAATTCTTTATAGTCTTTAATTTAAAAAAGTTGTAATAATAATAATAATAATAAAGTAATAATAAACTTATAACGAATGCATTCTTACATTACTTTTATAGTATTATTTTTGTAATAATAAATAAGAAATAATTTTAAAGAATAATTAAACAACTGTACAAAAATGTTCCTTGTAATCTATATATATATATATATATATATATATATATAAATGGACATGTATGTCCCTATATCTCACTTTTTCGCCAAAACTACACATCGCACGTGAATGGTGTTTGTATGTGGTGGTAGCCCCAAGTCTCCATTCGTGCATAGGGGTGGTTGCGTCTCGATAGCTATAAGGGTGCGGGAGATATGAGGCTGAAAGTGGTTGAAAGTGGCTTT